TAAAAACCCCTTTTTCTCTTTTTTTTTTTTTTTTTTTTTTAATTACTAATACGTGTATCATAGTGCATGCTAATGTCACACGGAATAAATCCTTTGAGTCAACTTTAACTGATATGTATAAGCTTATTTTGAAATGGTTCATTTTCCTGTCATGGCAAGAGCACAATTATATTGGTATCTCCACAAATCTGTTTCAGATGAGAAGAAGCAGATGGTTGCAAGTGTTGAGAAACAGCTAGAAGAAGCAAGGGAACTGGTATGTTATGATTTTTCATGTGTTAACTGCCAATTTTTGCAAAAAGTAATAGTATCATTAATGGTAATATTTAGCACACATGGAAATGTTATGTTAATATTTTAGAATATTTAGAATGTTTAGAATTTTTTAGAATATTTAGAATATGAAATACACAAGAGTAATATATTTGATGTATCCCTTTGGTGATTTAAGACTGATACTATTGCAGGCTGCTATGGACTTGCTTTAGGATTTGCATTCAACTTCATGCACCTAGAGCTTTTTTCCTCATAGGATCCACTTTGCATCTTAATCTATCTGATAGTCTTTCAGTGTAATGGATCATTTTTTCTCCTTTAGTAAATGAGTAAATTTGAGGTCAAGAGGGTAGTAGTAGTGTGAGGTATTGTTCTGAGAAAAATATATGTTAATCAAGCATTCGTTAGTGCTCTACTGTGATAGAACAAAACTGTACACATTAAGCATTTGTGGCTTTTTCTATTTTGTTACTTTACAAACTGTCATGTACTTCATTTGGATTACAAAGCCAAGTCTTATAGATATGGAGTGACTGAGCAAGGATGTTTAGTCACAGTACAAATTGATTTCCTCCCCACATAGCCAATAATTCTCTATCTGAAATTCCTTTTGTTTATTGCCTACAAAGCAGTTTGGACAATGTAGTGTCAGAAATATTATCTAAATGAATGGACACGGAAATGAAATTAATTCTCCTCATCTGGAAAGTTCTGGGAAGTTTTTAAAACTAAACAACTTGAATATTTGACTAAACAAAAATATTGATTTTTTTTTTTTTAAAAAAAAAGAGATTTTGACATAGGAAGTAAAAAAAGCCTCTAGTATGTTTGTGGAGACACCTGGAACTTTTGTTGTAAATGCAGTTTAGTTTAGGCTTGCAGACAGAGCCCTGGAGAGCTGGAGCTCAGGATGGCTCTGCTGCAGGCTGCCTCAGTGACCTTGGCCAAGTGCCTAACCTTGCTGATTCAGAATTCTTAGTGAGAAATGTGATAAAATTACTGTTCAACGTCATGAGGATGTTCTGAAGATGTGTTAGGGTTTGGAGACGCATCCATTTTCAAATAGATGAAGGGAGATAGAAAACTTTTTTTTTTCTTCTCCTCCTTTTCCCTTTTATGGCCACTTGACCAAAACAACAACAAAAAGATATGGCAGTGCAGGGAAATCATGTGCAGCATGGGCGTTCTGCTGAAAAAAATATTCAGGTTTCTTTTTTTGATCTAAGTAAGATTGGAAGGAGCAGAAACTGAGTTAATGATTTATTACTACTTTTATCAGAAGACGATAATCTAAATTTGTATTTATTGTAGGATTAAAAGGTAAATCCTATTTCAGCATTTTCTTTATAATGATGGACTTAATGGACTGATTTTTCTTCATGCTTTTGTTTTAGATTTTGTTGCTAACACTACTAGACAGGTGCTTCATATCATTACTGGCTTTAAGCAATTACCTTACATGTTAATGATTAATGTCAAGGCTTGGGTTCCAAATCAATTTGAACAAACCTGCTATTAGGAGAACTGATTAAAAAGATCTTTCCTTTTAAACGAAGGGCTGAAGCAGAAAACCAAAGCAAACGCAATTCATTTCCACTGTTAACTTTTATGTACTGACTTGTTTCAAGCACCATCGGGATTAACCTATTTTGTTTATTTTCTACTTTGTTAGAAAGTTATCATTTCATGTATTATAAGTATTACTGTAGAGATATTGACTATTGATATTCACATTGGCTTTTTTTTTATACTGCTTGCTTTGGGTAAAATCACTGCTTTAATTGAACTAAGATATAAAGAGCTGACACCAAAACCTTTTCAGACTCTCAAGTTGCCTTTTTACAGCAGTGAGGTTGAATAAGGAGCTCTGGAGAGAAATCCTGTCGTTCTGGGGCACCCAAGGAAAGCTTCATGCCAAGAGTAGGAGTCAGATGTCAGGTCAGGCCAAGTGTCTCAGGGCTTTTTCCAGCTGGGCTTTGAAAACCTCCAAGGATGGAGAGTGCACAGCCTCTCTGGGCAACGCACCCCATTGCTTGACTGTCCTCATCGTGTAAAAGTTTCTCCTGAGATTTATGTAGGATGCAGCTGTGGATTTTTTTATTTTTTATTTTTTTTTAAGGGTTGTGGATTGCATTTGAATCTGTCGGCCAAATCGGGACGTTGCAAATACTGATGTCTAGTTACCAATGTTCACAATAGAGCTTGAAAGACCTTGAAATATTATTTAAGACATCCCTAATCCTCCAGAGACAATTCGGTTGTAGTCTAGAGCAATTTACATGTGGAAATGTTCCCGTGTGGGAGAGGGAATTATTCTGGAGTCTCGATGGACAAGATGAGCACTGCCTCGCCCAGTTACATCGTTTAATGAAAATATCTGTGGCTGCTCTGCTTTTGCTGTTCTCAGTGCTAGGAGTGCAGTGGGTGCTGTCAGGAGCAATCTTGCCAGGTTAAATCCATGAGGGATCTTGGGGACAGGGCCTAACTTATACATTTAGGTCAGAGTTAGGTGCCAAAATGCTCAGCTTCACCACAATGGTGGCATGTTTGAATATAAACAATAGCAGAACTTTGAGCATTTAAGTTCTCTGAAGAAAACTTCAGCTTTCTTTCTGTTTAGAGATGGAAGTGCCAGGATTTTTTTTAGCTTTTTGTAGACTATAACTATATTTTTCATGCTTGCCTATGAAAAAATACAGTTTTATGACCAAAATTGAGGTCTGAAAAGGAAGATGCATGAAATGAGGTTGTAATTATGTTGTCATCTACCTGAAACACTCTTTTCAACTTGACTTGGCCTGGAAATTTATCAGCCTAGGCACAAAATGTCCCTTTTTAATGTCAGGATGAAAAAAGTGCTAGTTTTTTTAGCCCAGACTCATAATTCTTCATCTTTGCCTGTAATGTTTCAAAGTACACGAAAAGTGTTTTCCTTTGAACATACAGTCTCTGATACTGACTCTTGGAATGGAGATTCTGGATTTCATGAACTGTGTGATCTAATTCCTGATACAAATTCTGGATTTGTATGGGAGATGATTAAATTTTTATGTAACTGGAAAGAACTAAGACGTCATTAAAATATTCAGACCTTGCACATACAGCTCTATGCATGTAAGAGAAATATTCTCTATGTTTATGGAAACATTTGAAATCAAGTATATTGAAATAAAGGTAGATAAGAAATAAGCCATTAATTCTAGGTATTAGCTTCATTTGTAAAAAAAATCCCTTTGGCAAATTGTCTGAGAAAACGAATTGGGTAGAATTAGAATTAGTTTAGTGTATTTCTGGTCATTACCGACTACATAATTAAACTCTGCTTTACAGTTAATGACATTTAAGTACCATTTTGTATATAATCAGAACAGATCAGGCTGAATGACTTTTATTTCAGTATCTGGCAATTTTATTGATTGAATTTGGATGCTTCTCTTCTGGCCTAAGACTGAAATTTTATAGTGTAAGTGGCAATTAATAAACTGTAGCCGTCTTTTATGAAGACCTGTAACTTATGGTGTGGGACCCAAATCGACAGGTATTTCTGCTTCAAGTTTTTAATCTTTGTTTATTTTTTAGATCTTTTTAAAGTCAAGTCAGAAAGATTTTTAAATGGCAGAAAAGAATCCCTTACCTGCTGTGCAAACAGAGTCCCTGAGCAATCTTTAAACAGGAAACTTCATGACCCGGTGGGGAGACAATTAGCAGGCAGAATCACACTGACTTTGATTCTTTTGATTTCCTGTGACTGGTTCAGTAGAACAAGAATTATTTTAGTAAATCTTGAGGATGGTGTTAGATACATATAAATAGGTGAATATTTACCTATTTATCTCATTAAAAGTACCTAAGTGTATCTTTTCACCTAGACATTACAGGAAAACACACACTTAGAAGGATTTAGGCAATGTCCTGAATCATTTCCTTTGAAGAAAGTTATTTAACCTCTGTTTTGCTGGCTTCTTGTAATAAAATATATTCATCAGTGTTTGAAATGAAGTGTTTGGGTTAGAATAATTCATTCTATTAGTATTACTAATTGTGTCATTTGTATATTTGATAGGATATCAGTAGTATATATACACACTCACTCTAATATGTTTTATTTGGTAAATGTGATGACATTTCTATACCAAAGGTCAAATTGCAGTATTCTTAATAAGTAAATAATATTTTTGGGCATTTGCTGGCAATTACTTAATTATAATCCTTACGCATACGTCACAATGATTATTAAGGTATTTTTCTTATTTTTACTTGCCAGCTTGAGCAGATGGAGCTTGAAGTTCGAGAGATCCCACCTCAGAGCCGAGGAATGTACAGCAGCCGTATGAGAAGCTACAAACAAGAAATGGGAAAACTTGAAGCTGATTTTGTGAGTTTTTAACTATCACATAGATGGCATTAATTAGGCTTTTAAATTAATTTTAATGTAATTTTTCAAGCAATTGAGAGGGTAGTTTTTGACTAATGTGAGAGTTCTGCACGTGTCTTGCTTCGTTTATGGATAGATGAAAACTTAACTGTCTTTTTTGGTAGCAGAAACTTACTAATACTCAGGTTGGTAGCCCTGAGTCTCTTTGCCTTGGATCTGTGCCATCAGATGTTGTGTTAATGCCCTAGCGAAATTAGCCAATATCCTAACCCTACTTCTAAAGGAATGACTGGTAGATCTTTGCAATTAATATTTTATAGATAACATATGTATACCTTGAGCATAGAGTAGCAGTCCATTTAACATAGCTTATAATAATGCAGGCAGTAGCACGAAAAGCAATACAATCTCCAGTCCATGAAATTTTTAAATGAAGTTTCTCATGTGCACTTCATTTCTTAGTCTCTGTGATTTTTTTCCATTGCCCTTGGTTTCTTCTTGGCTTTTGTATAAATTGGTTATAAGTACTATGTTTTTCAAGTAATAGATGCAAACTAGCAGGATTCTCTTGTTTAGGGGCTTCTGCTACAACTATCAGTCCTTTCTTGTGACTAGGATTTGGGGTGAATAGATCTACATAGAAACAAAACTGTTTTCTCTAAAATCATGAAAAGGTTCAAAGGGATTGCAAAGTGTAGGAAAATGCAACAGCAGTTAATTGGCAGCAGCTCAGTTCCATCAGGATGGAGAGAAAGAAATAACTGTTGGCAGTGTTTGCTATTCACTAGGGAGCTGTGAATTGCCTTGGATTGCTGGCAGCAGTTTATTCCTTCAGGGGAGGGGAGTGCATGTTTATACCTGCAGCCAAGAAATCCAGCTGACTGTCACTCTGTGCTTCTGCCAAGTTGAAGAGTCGTACAAAAGTGTATTAGCTAAAAGCATACAAAAGTTGCACTTCTGTAAAGTTGGAGAAATACTAGAGTGAAAAGATTTAAATCATGAATTTGAGACAATCTTGTGTATTTCACATGTAGGAAACATGCGTGGAAATTGCCCATACCCTGCTGGGTAAGTAGCAGCTTCTAAGGGATTGCAGTCTCTAGACCAGGAATGAGTGCTGTTTACCTCTCACATGTATCCTGACCATGGAAGAAATGTCTCAGCAGCTGGAATTATGTGACTGAAAGAACAGAAGTTTGTACTTGGAGTGAGAGAGAGAAAAAATATGGACAGAGGCAGGAGCACATCATAATAGTGAGAAAAGCAAGCGTGGCGTTCAGCAAGAGATCAAGAAAAAAAGTGGAGTGATGGAGCAAAGTACTGAGAAAAATCGAACATCTATGCTTGGAAAGTTTCAATTCTCCAGAGAATACAGTGTTATAATTAAATTCCCTCTGTAATTCCAGTTTTTAGGTACTGACATTTTTCTAAGTTCCTATGTGTGGGTTTGAGAACCATTTTGGATTACTTTCTAGCTGAATAGCAAATTGCTGGAAACTTATGTAGCAAAATGATTCATTTGTGAGTTCAAAGAAGGAAGAGGAGCAGATGGTGAAGGAGAAAAAATGTTATTTTGACTCTGAGCTGCTCTGGCAGCAGAGCCACTGAAGGTAGGAAGTTGAAAATGTTGGCCAAAATAAAAGTGCTTTTGCGTGTTCTGTCTGAATATTGTCCTGAATGAGTTGTGACCTGTTTGATTATAAGCAAAGGCTTGAAGAGTTTAAGAGCTTTAGCAGACCTTTAGAGAAAGCAGATCTAAGTACTGTAAAAAGAAATACCCTTTTACAGGTGAAGGGAGAAGTTTAACTGGGAGTGATCCTGGCAGTTTCAGGTCAGAATCACCTTGCAGGTTTGCTACTCAAAATTCTCCATTTTCTTTCGTGCCGGATGCAGATGTGAGCCTGCAAAGTCGTGTGCTCATCTTTATAAGTGGAATTGGAAATACAACAGAATCCAGTTGCATTTGGCTTGGCTATTCCTGTGTGAAGCAGCCTCTGCTCTGAGGAGAAGGTAGTTCTCAGCTTGAAGTTTCTGTCATTTTAAAGAGGCGATCGATGTTACACTGATCTATATAATTTCTGCAATTTGTTTATAGTGCGCCTGTGTTATTTTTTAAACAAGTTATATTTGAAGCTTGAAGTGAATGCAATAACTGGGTCTGGTAGTTTTCTTTTATGTTCATTGTAACAAACATAAGTTTGTTTTTGTGGCATCCTTGTAAACTTGCCCTCACCCAAGCAGTTACAGGAGACAACAGTCCAGCAATCAGGAGAAAGAAATATGAGGTGTGTCTTTATATGAAGGACGGACAACAGTAAGGTTTAAGTTGTGACGTGTAGTATCACTATGAGTTTGTTTGATTTGGGCCAGTATGCATAAAAATGGCAGAACACCGGACTGTAAATTTGATCTTATTTACTACATCCTGTGACTTTTGGGCATCTTAATGTGCAGGGTTCCTTCTGCTCTACTATGCCAAAAGTATATTCTGAAAAGTACACATTGGAGCTTAGCTGAGCTGTGCTTTGAAAAGTTACTCCAAAACCAGCTTGTGCTCCTGTAATTAACTTTCTAATCAAACAGGAACAAGTTGCAAACAGATGTTTTTTTTTTCCTTCCCTCATCTCTTAAGCTTGTTATCTTGAGTCCTGCACACAGTTCTTTATCAGTACACTGCAGTCCACGGAGGTGTGCCTGGAGGCAGCGACGTCTGTGCCATTGTATTGCACAGGGGTAACCCAATAATTGCATGAAATGGTATTTGAGGAGAAAAAGCCACTCTGCTCCTTCTTGGCCTCCTCCCTTGGCTACTGGGAATGGGGCAGGCAGGGGGAAAAAGCTTAGTTTGGTTATTTAAAAAAAAAAAAAAAAACCCTCAGATATCACAGTATTGTGAGTGTTTATGGTGAAACAAAGCCAGAGTATTAAACCACAAATGAAGCCAGAGACTAAGCCATGGTTCCTGATGCCTGCACTTGTGTTATACAGTTCTGTACCCGGGAGGAGGATGCTCGTTTAGGGAGCAGTTCATCTGGTTTGTGAAATAAATGGAGCAATGACAGTGCCATGTCAGACCAAACAGCTGCATGGTCCAATCCAAATGCAGGTGTCTGGGCAGCAATATTAGAACAGCACAAATATGAAGTGATACTTCGCTATAGTTTGCCATTCAGCGAGATGATGCGTATTGAAAAGCTAAATCTCAGGATTGTTTACAATGTGTAATAAAATGTATTAAAATAGAATAAAACTGTTAAGCTTATGTTGCCTTTTTTTGACTGACAGATGCAGCAAATCTCAGTTTTGTTACCTCATGTTCAACGTTTTGGTCCCACATTTTTAGAGTGGAGTTTCCCTCTTGCTACATCTCAAACTGTAGTCGCAGACCTTAGGTGGGCACAAGGTTTGTGCGTGGCACTGATTTGCAGAGCCTGTGGTACTGGCTCTATCTTGTGGCCCGAAGTGGAGTTGCAGAGACCGTGTACTCTCTGGGCTGAATCAGCTCCTGGGGCTAAGGAGCTCCTGAAGCTGAAAGCAAGCTTCCTATGTGCAATTTTTCCTTCTGCATCTACTGATGCATCTTCTTATAGTTTAAATTTTATATATTTTTTTTTCTCAGCTATGTGACTGACTTTGGAGTGAGCTGTGGTTACAAAAATATCTAGTTTTTCATGTGATCTTTTACATGAATGGACTGTTTAGTGTTCTTTTTTTTTTTTTTTTTTTTTTTTTTTTTTCTTCCTTCCTCCTACCCCCTCCAAATAAAACCTTTTTGGTTAAGTATTACCTGAAAGGAGCCAATGGCCCTTTAAACACAGGGGATCTGTAGAAGTGGTAAAAGGCCGTTGATGTTTTTATCCCTGCGCTTTGATTTGTGCCTGCCCTAGCTGGTCTTCAGTTGTAACTCTAACAAACTTGTGGTTATGCGCTAGTATTTATGTTCCCCCATTTCCATTCACGGGCTCATCAGGATATCAACGGCAAAGGCAGGTGCTGGCCAAAAATCATGACAACTGGAATATGAGGCATCAGATGCATGGCAAAATACAAAAACCCAGCTATTTAACAGTAATATTCATGTTACCACAATAAGTGCTGTGCAACCAATACTAGAAGTGACAGTGGTATATTCAGGACGAAATAGAGCCATCATGAGAAGGAGGAGGCCAAAGAACAGTTCCTGTGCTGTCAGGATAGCACAAAGGTAAATTTTACAGGTGTTTTTGGTTATTTTCTATTCTTGCATCTTTTCTGAGGCCAAAAGATCATTCAAGTTTAATTCAGATGTTCTCTCTGCTGTAAGAATCCAGCATGTGCCTGTATAAGCAACTTCATTTTCTGCCAGCAGCCTACCTGCCCTCGTGCATACGTATTAAGTGACACAGACTGTGTATGATGAAAGGTAAGCAAGATACCTTCTTTTCAGAAGGTTGCTTATGGTTGTGGATATGGTGTGCGTGCTAGTGAAATGAATATGGCAGCTCTCTTCTCTGATGGGAAGTTCTAATTAGCTGGGACTAAGGAAAAGGTGCTATGACCAGATCAAAAAATAGTCATGTTCCTTTTCAGAAATGTTGGATCAATAGTTGTAAGCTTCTTCCAAAGTGAGACATGTTCATCATGTTTTCTATTTTTGATATATCCAAAAGCATACTTTTTGCCATGTGTGCTGTTGGAGAGAAATATTTTTGTGTCATAAAGTTATTTTTGTTGTATTAATGACTAATTTTATTAAATGCTGAAGCTGAGTATGGCTAATCTTCTTATACTTCTTAGGAAACGCCTAGTCATCTGGCTTCCTTATTTCTATTATGTATTGTTTAATATTGCATGATTAGTTCTTGATTTTTTTCAAAACCTTGGTCCTTTTCCTTGATTTTTCTTGTTTCATATAAGAAAAATTGTGTATACATTATGTATTTCTGTTGAAATGCTAGATGTAGAATCAAATCAATCCAAGAAAGTCTTTGCCTTGCAAGACTCAGAATGGACACTGATTT